GGTTATGCGGATACCAGAGGCGAGGGAAAGTTTTGAAGGAGCAGCTGCTGGGCTCAGAGGGAAGATTGTTATAGCCAGGGGGCTTATCTTTTGGTTCCAGTTCCTGCTGGTTGTTTGGGTCAGGACTGTGAGGGGAGGTATTTGGAGGTGCCCTAGGGGCACATGATCGCCTTGAGCCCTGCCAGGGGCAAACTCAGGGCAGAGAGGGTTGAGCCTGGAGCAGGGCAGAGCATGGAGCTGCAAAGCCCAAGGCAGGGCCAAGGAGCCCGGCACCCAAGAGGGGTGGCAAACCGGGGCTAGGAGCCCAGCAGCACAACAGGGGCAGAGACAGGGGCCCCACATCTGAGAGAGCAAAACTAAAGCTGGTGCCTCAAAGCCGGGCCCAGGCGAGAAGGTACAACCAGAGAAAGGGGGTGGAGGCTGAGGAGGCCAAACCCCAGATAGTGACAGTACAGAAACACCTATGAGGCATGGGACATAGTGTAGGAGCAGAGGGAGCCGTGCAATTAGCCCTTAAGGCTTGTAGGTGCCCTGGGGCACCCAGGTAGAGAGCACCCCATGCAGCTCAGGAGCTGGGTCAGGGCCAGCAGTGCAGGAGGGACCTGCTGGCTGGTGGGTAGAGTAAGCCTTGTTCTAGGACTTTCAAGTCAGCTTCCCTTTCTATGCAAAAGGTACATCAAGACACGGCAGGAGAGAAGGAGGTGAGGGGCCTAGAGGCAGAGCAGGGCATGGGTTGCTGAGCCACCAGGGAGCATCACGGTCATCGCTGGGACTCTAATGTACTACACAGGCCATACAAGTCAATAGGAGTATCTGGATTACATTCTTTGAAAACATACCCTCTGTCTGAAATGCTGTGATAAACAATCTTGCCTTCTCAATGACTTTTTTAAAGAAAAGGTTATTTAAGGTGATTAAAACTTACTCATACCTTGTTCTACGACGTTGGTCGTCTTCAGACTCACTAACTTCTTCACTAACTTCAGATTCATGAAACTCTGAGTCATTTGAGTCATCGCTGCTCACTTGAAAAAGAAAAAAATATATAGACTACCGACCATTGTTATAAACTAAAGCAACATCAATGTAGCTTTTCTAATTTAAAACAAATGTTTATTACATATGCTGCAAGCTGCACAAACTTATCTCGGTCAATACCAAGCAGAATTCAACATGCTGCTAATAAAATGCGTCATGTAAGGTATAACAATATGAGGCCATGAGAAAGAAGTGACTATATGGAGCAGGGGTGGACAACCTAACGTAGCAGGCACAAGTGACACAGGCAACCTCTGCATGTGTCACATGGCAGACTGGGGAGGGGACAGGCAGCACAATAAGCAGGGGAAGTGGAACAGAGTGACATACAGGGAGGGTACATGGCTAATTTGTGGCATGCCTGACACATTGGCCCCTACCAGAGCATAAGTTAAACCCTGAAGTAAAAGGTTGGCACAGAAGATTGATGGACTTCATAAACAGTAATTATCCAATGCAAATTAGGAAAACACACTCAAAAAAAGCAATAAATATTTATTTTAAAGGAATGTTGTCAGGTAGCCTGATTTTGTTAAAGACCTTTGTCTTAATACAAATATTTTCATGATTGTTTTTAATTTACTGCAAATGGTTCTTCTTGGATTTAATTTTCCCCTATTGGCCTAGTACATGAAAACCAAAGGAGGAAACAAATTCCCATTCCGTATGCTAAAAGGTAAATTAGATGGAAGTCTAAATAATCTATATTAGCAAGGACTAACTTCTTTGGCAGGCATACCACAAATTAACAATGTACTCTCTCCAGATGCCACTCTATTCCTCTTCCCCTGCTTGATCTACTGCTCTGCTTTCTGCTCCCCAACCTGTGACTCCCTGACTTATCTGTTGCTAGGCTTGCCATTTCCTAGTCTGTGCTCCCTGCCTGTTCCGTTTCCTATTTCCTGCTCCACCTGCCACTGTGTTACCTGTCCCCTCCCCATCTGCCACATGCCACACACAAAGGCCATCATGCCACAAGTTCACCACCCCTATTCTATATTGCAATTAACACAAATTGAATGCATTACACAAACATGTCTGCGTGGTTTTTACCCCAACATCACCCCTACAATTATAACATAGCTTAGCAGGGAACTTCAGTAAGCTAAAAATCACAAAAAGGAAGCTTCTAAGAAGTGGAAACTTGGACAAATAACTACGGAAGAATATAAGAGCATTGCTCAGGCATGCAGGGATGAAGTCAGGAAGGCCAAAGAGCAATTGGACCTGCAGCTAGCAGGGGATGTGAAGGATAACAAGAAGGGCTTCTATAAGTATGTCAATAGCAAGAGGAGGAGGAGGGAAAGTGTGGGTCCCTTTACTGAATGGGGGAGGCAACCTTGTGATAGAGGATGCAGAAAAGGACAAAGTGCTCAATGCTTTCTTTGCCTCAGTCTTCACAAGCAAGGTCAGTTCCCAGACTACTGCACTGGGCAGCAGTTTGATATGCCCCCCACGTGCCCTTTCCCTCCCCCCACACCGGACTTACCAGCTGGAGGCAGCAGTATTGGAAATCAAATCGGTAGTGGCTGAGAGGCCTCCTTAAACACTGGCCCCAAAAATCTCTAATGGTGCACCTCTAGTAAAAGTCCATGGGGCTGATGGGATGCACCTGAGGGTGCTGAGGAAGTTGGCTGATGAGATTAGAGCCACTGACCATCATCCTTGCAAACTCAGGGTGATCAGGAGAGGACCCAGATGACTGGAAAAGGGCAAACGTGGTGCCGATATCGAAAGGGAAAAAGGAGGATCCAGGGAACTACAGACCAGTCAGCCTCACCTCAGTCCCTAGAAAAATCATGGAGCAGAGCCTCAAGAAATCCATTTCTAAACACTTGGAAGAGAAGGTGGTTAGGAACAGTCAGTATGGATTCACCAGGGGCTAATCATTCCTGACCATACTGATTGCCTTCTATGATGAGATGACTGGCTCTGTGGATGCAGGGAGACCAGTGGATGTGGTGTACCTTGATTTTAGCAAGGCTTTTGATACAGTCTCCCACAACATTCTCGCAGACAAGCTAAGGAAGTATGGGTCGGATGAATGGACTATTAGGTGGATAGAAAACTGGCCGGAGCATTGAGTTCAGAGAATAGTAATCAATGGCTTGATGTCTAATTTGCAGCCGGTATCAAGCAGAGTGTCCCAGAGGCGGGTTTTGTTCAATGTCTTCATCAACGACTCGGAAGATGGCCCAGAGGGTACCCTCAGTAAGTGTCTGAAGATGACACCAAGCTGGGGGGAGTAGTAGATAGGCTTGGAGGGTAGGGCTAGGATTCAGAGTGACCTAGACAAATTGGAGGACTGGGCCAAAAGAAATCTCATAAGGTTCAACAAGGACAAGTGAAAGTCCTGCACTTAGGACAGAACAATCCCATAAACCAGTACAGGCTGGGGGCTGACTGGGTAGGCAGCAGCTCTTAAGAAAAAGGACCAGGGGATTACAGTGGACAATCAGCTGAATATAAGCCAGCAGTGTGCCCTTGTTGCCAGGAAGGCTAATGGTATACTGGGCTTCATTGGTACGTGTGTTGCCAGTAGGTCCAGGGAAGCGACTATTTCCCTCCCTTCAGCACTGGTGAGGCCACATCTAGAGTAATGAGTTCAGTTTTGAACCCTGCACTGACAAAGAATGTGGACAAATGGGAGAGACTCGAGCAGAGGGGAACACAAATGGTGGGGGGGCTGGGAAACACGACTTAAGAGGAAAGACTGAGGGAACTGGGCTTATTTAGTATAGAGAAGAAGAGACCGAGAGGGGACTTAATAGCAGCTTTCAGCTACCTGAAGGAGGGGTTGAAACAAGATGAAGCTAGATTGTTCTTGGTGACAGATGACAGAACAAGGAGCAATGGTCTCAAGTTGCAGCCAGGGAAGTTTAGGTTAGATATTAGGAATACATTTTCTTACTAGGAGGGTACTAAAAACACTGGAACAGGTTACCCAGAGAGAGGTATATGCTCCAACCTTGGAGGTTTTTAAAACTTGGCAAGACAAAGGTTTGACTGGGATGATCCAGTTGGGGATGGTCCTGGTTTGAGAAGACGGTTGGAATAGATGACCTCCTCAGTTCCCTTCCAACCCTAACTTTCTATGATTCTATTTCTTTCAAAGTAAAAAGAGAAAGACGGTTTCAT